CAGGCGCCCCTAGGATGCTTTGTCTTTTCTTTACCCAGAAATGTTCCTGGAATGACAAAGGACTATGGTTCATTACAATTTCAAGGATACATTTTAGATCTATTCCCTCGTCTTTCATTTAGTCTTATATTCACTGAGCATCTTTCCAATCCATGATTTGGTTAAAGGAACTTATGGGTCAAGAGAGAATGCCCTAAGAAGAAACAGTTCTTATCCTGTGACATTCTGGTTTATCAATCAGTCTCTTGAGAGGTGGCTTACACAATAGAGATTTATTCTCACAGATCTAAGGACTAGAAATTAAAAATTCAGGTGTTGGCAGGTTGGTTCATTCTGAGTGCGGTGAGAAAAGAATCTATTCCAGGCCTCTCTCCTCAGCTTGGAGGGCCAAGCTATCTTCCTGTGTCTCTTCACACAGCCTTTCCTCTATATGTATTGGTGTCCGAATTTCCCCTTTTCATAAGGGCATTAGTCATACTGGATTATGATGTACCATAATAACCTCAATTTAACTTGATTATCTCTATAGAGACCTGTCTCCAAATAAAGTCACATTCTGAGGTATTGGGGCTTAGGACTTCAACATATGAATTTTAAGGGGGACACAATTTAACTCATAGCAGAGAGGAGAGATACTGGGGGACAAACAGCAGTCTCTGCCATAATGCCATCTTGTGTCTGAATGATTGGCACAATCCATCCCCCTCCCCCACCGCCACTGCCCAAGCCAGTTACTTATGGGAGTTCACAGGGATGAATCAGCTCCATTTTTCTCTTGAACCTTATTTACCAAGGCACCTCACCAGACTCATTAGCACAGGGCATGTGTGTACATGTGTGACTGTATCTCACTTTGTTCCCAGGGCTGCGTGCTACCTGTGCTCCAAGTAATACTAATACTGGAGAAGGATAATGGCTAACCTTTACCATGGGCAAACTACATTCTAGATGCCACGTTAACACACTGTATGCATTATTTCATTTTAACTTCACAGCAACTTTATCATGTGGGCAGTAGTTTTTTCCCTATCTTCAGTCAAGGAAACCGAGGTACAGTGAATTTAAGCAATTTTCCCGAAGTCGCCCGGCTGGTAAGTGACAGGGATATAAATGGACTCTGACTCCAGAGCCAATGCAGCATGCTGTTCCTCAAAGAGTTTTCACTAACACAGTAGCTATAGTTTATGACTCTATCCCTTGGCCAGGGCCCAAAACCTCCAGCTGTCTGGGAGGACGGATGCTTTATCTCGTCTTATAGTCTGCATTTTATTTCTATATCCTCTTTCTCTTTCAAAAGCATCCAACCCACCATAAATTCCATTGATCTTAGTTCAATAGTTCCAGAATCTCTTTTTTTTTTTTTGAGATTTTAAACATGTTCATTGTTTTCTTTTTTTAGTGAAGTATAATTAACATTCAGTGTTAGTTTCAGGTGTACAGTGTAATGATTCAGTAATCCTATACATTACCCAAAATACCTTTTGAGTCTTTCCATTTTTATCTGGTTTCCACTGCCACCACTCATCATCTAGGCCCCTAGATTGCTACAGTCTGTACATGCAAATTAGGTGATATTAACTTTAATGCCTACATTAGTTAGGATTAATCTGGAATATCCCCCAAATGGATTCTCCTGCTTTCACACTTCTACCCAAGAGCTGGTTTTCCAAAATCTAACTGCTTTCCAGAGTATAACCATTTAAAAATGCAGACTAGTTCATGTCAATTTGCTGACTAAAATCCCTGCCTAGGGATGCCTGGGTAGTTTGGTTGGTTAAGTGTCTGCCTTCGGCTCAGGTTATGATCCCAGGGTCCTTAGATCAAGCCCCACGTGGGACTTCTTGCTCAATGGGGAGTCTGTTTCTCCCTCTGCCTGCCGCTCCCCCTGCGTGTGCTCTCTCTCTCTCTCACACACAAATAAGTAAATAAAATCTTAAACCCTGACTGCCTCTCTGACATCTCCACCACACTTGCCTCGCTCACTACCTATGGTCTGGCCACACAGGCCTTTGGTTATTATCTTGAGTAAGGCAGGCTTTCTCCTGCTTCAGGGCCTCTATATTCTAATCCCAACTCTCGTTCCCCAGATGTTTGCCTTCATGTCTCCTACTCCTCCTTTATACCTTAGTGTAAATGCCACTTCTTGGCAATGTATTCCTTGACCAATCTAAAGTATATTTCCACTATCCCTCTCTATTACATCACCTTGTTTCATTTTCTTTAGGATGCTTCTCCATAGTTGACATGCTATTATTTGCTTACTTGTTCATTATCTGAGGTCCTGACAAACACAACTAGAAGGTAAGTTATTGTTCACTGCCTGCAATACCAGAGCCGTTCGAGTATCTAAAGCTTGGTAGATATTTAACCAGTAATTGTTAAAGAATGAATGAATGAATAAATCTCCCCGGGCATGGTGCACAAAATTCTTTCTTGCTCCTTCCACTTCAAAATGAAAAAATTCCAGTCAAATAACCTTAAGAAAACACAATAAATTAACTCTTCCTGAATTCCAATTTCAGCTCAGCAAGCACACTCAGTGAGGTTTATCTGAGATCTTTTTTACATTTCTCTCAGCTGTGATCAGTGACTTACATTGCCTCCACTGCACTATATAACAACCGGGGTGGATTTTGGAGGCAGATCACATTCTCAAGGTAGAGACCTTCCAACACTATATCTAGGAGGGTAAAGAAGAAGACACTCTGCTTTCTGGAACCCACTAAACTTTGGCTAGATAACAAATGAGGAAGGAAGGCCACTTCAAGGGAATCTAATAATTTTTTTTTTTTATGTGCCAGGCTAGACTTCAAGAACTTTACATACATGAACTTACGACTCTAAATTCTGTGCTAACATTCTAACTGATTACAGATGAGGAATCCTAAACACAGAGAAGCGAACATAGCTTGCCCAATATTACATAGATACTAATTTGCCTAATTGGGGTTTAAACTTAAGAAGTTCAGCTCCGGAGTCCACGTTTCATCACTCTAAGTAAGATTTGGAACGTGGAAACTAGAACACACTTAGAAAAATGGGACTGTAAGAGAAAGAAATGTTTTGAAAACCTCTTGTATTACATACATAAGAACATCTTCTTACTTATCAAAAAGTAAATATTAAGCACTCTCAACTTGTGAACTTTATTAGAAGCTGTATTTGGGTTTTTTTTGTTTTTTTTTTTTTTAGAAGCTGTATTTGTTAAAGGTTGAGATTGTGTGTGTGTACTACCATTATTTATTCAAGTTTTAATTTTAATTCGTTAGTTAAACTACAGTGTTATTTCAGTTTCAGGCATACAATACAGTGATTCAACAATTAAAGGTTGTTTCGTTACAACCAAATTCCAAAGGAAGACCAAATTCTTCCTAATATCTAGTGTTGCTTGAGAGAGAAATCAGGACCTAATTCTGTGTCCTCTGACTAAATCTTGGGCCCTGCTCTCTGTGCCTCTTTGCCTTATTTTAGTAATCTGTTTTATGACCTTAGGAAGTCATATCACCTCAGAATGTCTTTCTTTCCTCTGTAGGGCCAGTGAAACACAGACTCAGCCCAGTAACTTTGCAACTAATACCTATATGACCTGGGACAAGGTTGATACTACTTCACCAAATTTGTTTCCTCATCTTTAAAAGTTGGGGTAGCACCCACAACACAAGGTTACAGGGAGAATTAGTAAGAGAAAATACATGAAGTGTTTGGCATAAAGTAGATACTCGATAAATATCTTTACCCCAATTTTTACAATATATAAAATCTAGCTTTTTCTTAGAAAACAGACTCTACCCTCAGTAGACTTACTAACAGACAGATTGGCTAGGAAGTTTCCAGATTCCTTGTTTACCTATTACTTGAGGGGCTCCTATGCACAAAGTCACAGTGTCATAAGGTAATTCAGTTGGGGCAATGATTGTTGTACATAACTATCTATAGGAAATGGTAAATATTTTAAGTGAGGGACAGTCATGAAAATTCAGAGGAGGAAGAAATTGCTTTCACCACCAAGAGATGGGGCACAGAGTACAGAAAGGATATTTGAGCTAAACATTGAAGGATGTCACTAATAAATAGTATTTCTTTGCATAGTCCACAGACTAACATAATTACTTTCTCCTCTCTGGTATGCTTCATCAGTTTTCACTACTTTTATTATTAAATTTATATTAGGCAGTAATTTCTGTTTCTGTTTCCCACTTCTTGTGCATTTCTGGATAGCAGAACTATCTTATCCCACTAAATTCTCCAGCACCTGATTAAAGTAACAGCTATAATGAGGAGAGAAATCACAGAACAGCTGTTTGGCTTTTTTGTTAATTTAGTGTTAACAGTGTGGCTGTAGAGTCTGACTTTAACTTTAGGCTGTGCCTCTTAGCTCTCGTGACTTTTAGGGTTGACATAAAATACAGAATGCCCAGTTGCGTTTCACTTACAAATAAACAAGGAATCATTTTTTAGTATAATTATGCCCCATGCACTAATTAGGGGGCACACATCTAAGAAAGTATTTTTTGTTGTTTATCTGAAATTTCGGATTTAACTGGGCATTCCGTCTTTTTATTTGCTAAATCTGACAATCCTTGTGGCTTTTCTGACCTTGTTATTTGGAAATGGGCATGAAAATAGTACCTTCTTAAGGTAATCTATATAAAAAATATCGCACACAGGTAAACCCTTACTTACCCTTCCAAATCAGAATACTTTTGTAGGAGACATACGCCAAAACTCAGGGACAATGCCCCTGAGCTCACAATACGGTTACTCTTATTAGTTGGTTTTCAACGGAGTGCAGAGAAATTTCGATAGGACTCTGAACAAAGTTGTAAACTGCTTTGAGGATCTGCAAATTTGCCTTCAACCTAATAAGGGTGTTTAGCAAAGTAATTCCAGGCGGAAAAGGGACTTCCCTTAGTTACCGGGAAAGCGTGTGCTATGCCTCTGCGCACGCGCACAAGGCTCCGGCGTCTCCCCGCCCGGCCCCCGCCCCCCCGAGAGAGTCACGTGGGTGAGCCGTCGCTCTAGAGGCGCCACCGGGCCTTGTCATGTGACCGAGGTTCCTGCTTCGTACTAGGATGGAGCCGGAAGAGGGGACGCCCTTGTGGCAGCTGCAGAAAATTCCAGCCGAGCTGGGCCCGCAGGTGAGGAGAGCGCAGGCGGCGTGGCAGGCGGGGCTCTGGCACAGCCCGAGCTGCAGGTCCGGCCCGGTGTGATCGAGACGTCTTCGCTGGGCTCACCCGGGCTGCCCGGGGCAGGGACGGGGCAATGGGCGTGATGTCCGGGGTCCGGCCCCTTTCGTCCCCTGGAGCGCTGAGGAGGCGAGGCTTTTGGCGCCACCTCCGCGCCCCTCCTTGGAGCTGCCCCTCGAGGGGCTTTTCGAGCTGACTTGCGGCCGGTCATGCTCGCACCCGGTGGGGTCGGCCCATCAGCTCCCAAGCGCGGCCCGCGCGACCCGGTGACTGGGCTGGGGAGCGAAGTCGCCACCGTAGTATTTGAAATCTTACAACGTGGAGCCAGTGGTTTGCAGCCTCTCATTCATTCATACAGTACACACCTTCACCGTCCCTGTGCACTAGGCACAGTGCTAGGTGCTGGGGACGAGCTGGTGACCTAGAGAAGTATACCCTGCCCCCTTGAGGGCGACAGAAAAAAAATTGGTAAGTGCTACCAATAACTGGGCGACTTACTTTAGGTAGCGTGGTATAAGGTAGCCTCTCCCTCAAGAGGTGCCATATACACTGACACCCGGAGCCTGGGAAGGAACTTGGCCGTGAGGATCTGGGAAAAGCAGCTTTGTTCATTCGTCCGGCCAGCTTTGCACTGAAGTTTGCCTTGTGCTGAGTGCCCATATGGCATAAGGTGAAATGGTGAATGAGATACAGCCTGTGCCCCTGTGGAGCTTGCTATCTAATAAGGGAACCAAACTGAATTAACCAGTAATGAGCTCGTGGGACAGGTAGCACCCCAGATTCGAGGGGGCAGGGAGAGGCTTTGCAGAAGAGGAACATCTAAATTTCTAGGTTGAGTTCTGAAGGATGAGTAGGAACCAGACAGTCTAGAAGGAAGAGAGTGTTTTAGGCAGAGGAATAGCAGCTACGAAGCTAGAGGAAGGAAACCAGCCTCTACAGGTTTCAGGACCTGCTATAATTTTTAGAGGCTGAGATTTGAGTGAGCAGAGCAGGGAGACTAAGGCTAGACAGTTTAGTAGGAAGTCAGGTGGCTCAACTCTTTATATGCCTTGCTTGTGTGTTTAGCCGCAGTACCAAAGGCACTGGCAGTTTTGAGTTTGAAAAATCAAACGTGGAGACAGTAATTACATCTAATAAGTATCTTGACTGAACTGTGAGAGGAGGAGAAAACCCAGTGGTTGCTGTAAGAGAAAAATCTGACTGAGAAGTGGGTTTTTCCCCCCCTGAAAAGAAGGAAAGACCTGAAGGAAATTTGCCTGTCCCTAAAAGAAAGCAACATGTGCAAAATGGAACTTCATTATTAGCTCTGGGAGCTGTGGTTCTGTTTGTCCTCAGAAGTCAGTCTACTGATTCATTGTATTGTAATTAATACATAAATATGTTTACTCCTCCTCCTCTGTCCCACAGCAATTCAGGTCTCATTACACAACTTCTTGACTGGTTGGCTTGCCTCTGGTCTCTTCTGAACTCCTTCAGGGTAGATACCTTATCTTTAGTTCTGGAGAGTTGTGTCTGGCTCAAGGTGGGTTCTTAATCAGTGTTCACTGAGGGAAGGAATTAATGCATATTAAAATCTGCCCAACCATGGGGCAGTTATCTGGATGCCAAGCTTTGGTGGGCTGGCCTTCAGTGTCAGTGATAGGCATCACTGAGTAAGTCCCAATTCTGTTCCATTCACAATGGGTGAAGGGTGGGAGTGGGGGCTTCGCCTACATAATGTGATAGAGGGGTTTGTGGTAGGCAGCTTTTATAAGCCCCACATTTAGGTCATCTTTTTTCCTTGATTCCATTTACAGTGGGAAAGTGTGGGGGAGATAGAAGAGAATAGACTTACTTAATTCTTATCAGGATCAAAAAAACCTGTCTTAACTCTTTTCTGTGATTTTACCAGTGCAGAAACGGAAATGTCAGCAGAGAGTTTGAGAAATGTGCCTGAGGTGTCAAACTAGTAAGTGGTAAAGGTGGAACATGTGTTCAGATCTGTTGATCGTCTTTGTATCAGCCTTCTGCCCCTGTCTTCATTCTGTCTACTTCTTAGATAAGGCCCATAACCTTTCCCACCATGTAGGTTGATGACACCTAGGTGTCTGCATCCAGCCAAAGATCTCATCCCTGAGTGTCAGGCTTCTGCTGAGACACACTCCAGGTATCTCAAATTCAGTGTGTCCTTGGCTGAACTACTCGTTTTCCCCCCCAGAACCACTCTTCCTGTGGTTGTAACTTCATTTTTGATTTAGGGGACCACCATTTACCCAGCCACTCAACCTAAAATCTTGAGTATCATCCTTGGTTCCTCCTCCTTTTCACGTCTCTTTTACCTCTGTACTGCCTCCATTTTGAGTGTCCTCAATTATTTAGGCCCCCCTGATTTCTTCCTGGTAAACTGAGGGCAGGGGGCCTTTGGTCTCACCATCTCTCTTTTCCTTTTCTTTCCTTTTATCTCCCAACTTGTTAGCAGATTTATGGAAAAATAATGCAAATATGTGAATAGATTTCTTCCCTGTGGAAATAATTAAAGAGCCTAGACACTGCAAACAGCGCCTTTTATGATTTGGCCTCCACTCACCTCTCCAGCCTTATATCCTGTCTTTTTTCAAACTGAACAAGTGATTTTACACTTCCATTCTGTGCATATGCTGTTGCTTGTGACTAGAAATGCCCTTCTCTTCTGTTTCGATGGCCAGCTACTCATCCTTTTAAAACAGCCCTTTCCCTGCTTCCTGTCTGTGCTCCTTTGTATCTCCTGTAAACTTATAATATAGCTCCAGTCATTCTAAATTGCATTTACGTATTTGTATGTTTGTCTTTCTCTAGTGGACTAAAGCTCTGATATGGTAGAAACTTAATCTTGTTTATCCTCAGTTTCTCATTTGTGAAATGGGGATAATAACAATACTTACCTCATGGGGTTGTAGTGAGGATGAGCACAGTGCTTGGTACTCAGTTCGGGCTTCATAAATGGTAGTTATTATGGCTATTTTTGCTTTGTATTTCCATTAACTTGTTTAACAATTGGCTAGGGTGCTCATTACATATTTGTATATATGAATACAAACATTTATAAATGAATGGATAAATGAATGAATAAAAACATTTACATCCAAAAAGGTGACACTTTTATTTTTTAGTTAGAGTTCTGGGTTTGGCTTTAGCCCGGGGGCAGTTTGTGTAGAGAATTTTGAATGAATTTCAAATTGAGAATGTTTGTTGACTTATGGTAAATAAAAAGTCTGTTCACATAGTGCATTAGCCATTATTTGGAAGTGGGGTTACCAGTTTCTCATTTCTATTCTGATATGTGTGGTGTTATAGAGAAAGAGTTATTGCTTAAAATGGAGTAGAATATGGTTCAGGGGAAAGAGTTGGAAGACTTGTTGCTTAAATTCATTTCCAAATTATATGGATTCAGATACTCTTTTTACAGGACACAAATATTCCCTGGGAGAGAAAACCATATTAATAATTTATCTAGTATAGTGCTGGTATAGTAGGCACTCACTTAATGTATGTTAACGACATGGAACATAATACCAGAAGTAGTAGTGGTGGTGGTAGTGGTGATAATAGTGATAATAATAATAAGAAGAAGTATGACAATGGCTAGCAATGTTTAAGTGTTTTATACATGCTAGGAATGTGCCAAGTAAATGTGCATGTACTCATTTAATCCTTACAACATTATGGGGGTAGATGATATTCTCATTTTATACATGAGGAAACAGGCACAGACCATTTGAATAACTTGATAAAACTAGTTAAGTGGTGGAACTAGGATTCAAACTAGACAGTTTTATTCCAAAATTCAGTTTAATAACTATGTTCAGTTATATATGTGTTAGGACTTCCATTGCTGATGCTAAGGTAGGGTAGAGATAAAGGAATGTACAAAAGAAAAAGAAAGGTACTGACTGCTTTCTTGGAGTGGACCAAAAGAAGTGAGTATGAATGCTGTGAAAATGGAAGTAAAGGGAAATGAAGTTTGTCGATCTATGGTAAAAAATACCTTTAGTCTAAAAGTCATACTTTTTTTAGATTATTGGTATAAGTACAGTGTCTAAGTAATACCAAGGTGAAACCTTTATATTCACCATTTTCCTTTCATGAATATTGGGGAAACAACAGTGTATCTATGAAATTATTTTAGCTCCTGAAGGTGGACAAAATTATAGAAAGTCTGGGATGTTTATTGGAGCTTTAATTTTTAATTAATGTGAATACTGTTAAAAATAGTTATATTTCAACCTCTGCTGCTTTTGTAGATAACATGAGCTTGTCCCCACTATATTTGTTTCCTACAAGGAAGATAAATCTTTTTTATAAGTTTACGTGTAATTCATTTATTTCCTTTTCTCTCTAGCTTCTTCACAAAATAATTGATGGCATTTGTGGCCGAGCTTATCCTCTCCACCAGGATTATCACAGTGTTTGGGATTCAACAGAATGGAAGAATGTTCTAGAAGATATTACCAAATTTTTCAAAGCTGTAGTTGGTAAAAATTTATCTGATGAAGAGGTAACTTCACTCCAATTTTCTGTACCTTATAATAAATAATAAATTGTTTTCAGGTTTTTCTTAAGTTGGTCTTTAGGGCACTATATTATACAAGAACCATCATCAGTAAGTGTATATGTATATATATATACACATGTATATGTATATATATATACACACACATATATATATACATTTTTAAAAATATTTTATTCATTTATTTGAGAGAGAGAGAACATGAGAGATCAGGAATGGGGGTTGGGGTGGGGGAGGGAAAGGGCAGAGGGAGAGGGAGAAGCAGACTCCCGGTTGAGCAGGGAGCCTGATTTGGCTGAATCCCAGGACCCTGGGATCATGTGAAGGCAGATGCTTAACTGACAGCCACCCAGGCACCCCCCAATAAGTATATATTACAACAAAAACCTCATAATTATGAGTAGGCAAATCTGATTATGGAAGTTCTTTTTTTTTTATAGTTTTGGTTGTTTGTGTTTTTAAAATTGTGACACATTTAAATCATGTAGAAGAAAACTAAAAGTTATATAACTGACACCTACACTCCCATTATCACAATTAAACAGTTGTTAACATCTTTATGCATTACAGGTTTGTGTGTTTGTTTTAGAAACAAGACATTACAGATATACCTAAATACCACATGCCACCCTTCCCCAAGAGATCACCACTTGTGAAGTTGGTGTACATGTTTTGTAGTCTATATTGTATGACTATTTACATTGTAAGCAATATATACAATTATTTGAGCTAAACATGTAACTTGTGAATGATAACATGTATCCCTTTGTAATTTTTTTATGGAATGTTGTGTTTTAGACTTATCAGTGTTGGTAAATGTAGATCTGGTTCCTGTATTTTAACTCTTACAGTATTTGATGATAGGAATTAGCAGGACTTATTTTTCCGGCCCCCTCCTGATGAACTATTAGATCATTGCCTCTTTAATGTATAGTACTTCTACAAATATTTTGTACATGTCTCCTTGTCCACATATTAGCCAACTTTTCTTGGATAGACATCTTGACATGAAATTATAGGGTCATGGAGTATCCTTCCATTGAATTGCTTTTGTACCTTGGTCAAAAATTATTTTGGCATGTTTGTATAGGTTGCCTACTTTAAAAAAAAATGTAGTTATATATGTTCATTTTGATTTGGATGGTATTCTGGGTGGGAGTTCTTTGTTAGATATATGTATTTTAAATATCTTCTCTCATTATGTGGCTTGCCTTTTCACTCTTAATGGTGTCTTTTTGTGAACAGAAGTTCTGAGTTTTAATCAAGTCCAGCTTTGTCAGTATTTCTTTTGGTGGTTAGTGCTATTAAAATCATGTTTAAGAAATATTTGTGCCGAAGTCATGAAGATGTGTTTGTTCGTTTTCTTGTAGAAGCTCTCACATTTATGTTACTGATGCATTTTGAATTAATATTTGTGTGTGGAGTAAGGGTCGAGTTCACATTTTTTCACGTCAATAGCCAACTGACCCAGTAGTGTTTATTGAAATGACCGTCCTTGCTCCCATAGAATTTCTGTGCAGCCTTTGTTGTAAATCAGGTCACTGTATATGTATGTATCTGGACTTTTTTTTTTAAGATTTTATTTATTTATTTGACAGAGCGAGAAAGAGCACTGACAGACGGGGGGTGCAGGAGAGGGAGAAGCAGGCTCCCCACTGAGCAGGGAGCCCAATGTGGGGGCAGTCCAGCAGGTTTTTTGGTTGAAATTGACAAGCTGATTTTAAAGTGTACATGAAAATACAGAGGACCTAGAATAGCCAAAGCAATCTTGGAGAAACATGAAGTTAAAGGTCTTCTACTGCCAAATATCAAGACTTTATGTAACATAGCTTTAATTCTACAGTAATTAAGACAGTGTAGTACTGAGAAATATAGACAAACTAACGGAGCAGAATTAAGAGTCCAGATACAGGGGCACCTGGGTGGCTCAGTCGGTTAAGTATCTGTCTTCGGCTCAGGTCATGATCCCAGGGTCCTGGGATCGAGCCCCACATCGGGCTCCCTGCTCAGCAGGAGGCCTGCTTCTCCCTCTCTCACTCCCTTTGCTTGTGTTCCTTCTCTCGCTGTGTCTCTCTCTGTCAAATAAATAAATAAAATCTTAAAAAGGAAAATCTCTTGGTTGTTAGTTATGCATTCTCATCTTATTCTCTTCATAGAGACAGAAATATATTTTTTTTAACTGTCATTTTAAAGGTTTTATGAAAGGGGAGTGGAGCTGTGTGTGTACATTTTAAACAAAGACCCTTTCGCTTATTTTCTGTTTATTTTCATAGATATTTCAGCAGTTGAATCAGTTGAATTCATTTCATCAACAAGCTGTCATGAAATGCTTGAAAAGTAGGAAAGATGAAATCAAGCAGGCTCTGTTAGAAGAAATAGTTGATATTTCTTCTGCACAGCTACAGGATTTTGATTGGCAGTTAAAGGTGAGAATCTTTTTATGGGCATGTATGTTTTTTATCTCATTTTTTGAATAGAAATGCTTATTCTTCATAATATACATCTAAAATTTCTGTTATTTTAAGAATACATTGTCAAAAAATTGTATTTTTACGTTAACTTAGTACAGTACAAACATCCACATAATATGTAAAAACACTACATTGATAATTTAATTAACTAGAGCTGTGAATCATTAAATGTCTTAAGTAGTGGAGTAGTATGTATTCAACATCTATTTTTGGCTAGAAGTTTCTAGACTTTATAGTCTTCCTGAGATTGGTAAATACGATTCTGCCTCCAGGGTTAAATCTGTAATGTGCTATTAAAAGAGCACTTAAAAAACATTTTGAAAAGAGACTCATGATCAGTAGGATTCATAAAGAACAATTTCAGACCAACTTTCCATGCTATATAGGGTACCTAGACCTAGATGAGGAGGTTGTGTTGAAACACATTGTTGTTTCTTCTTTTCAGCATGATAAGTGCCTCATATTGTCTTTGTGGATAAAGTGGAGAAAAGTGTGGACAAATCATATAGTTATTTGGGTCATAGCTGGGTTAATAACCAAAACCAGATGAATTTGTGTTAGCCAGAAAGGAGGTCTCTGTGATTCTGGTTTGGGCCCAAACTTTAACAAATATTCTTTCATGCATATTATGCTCATATGCTCATCAGATCTGCGATGTGTTAAATATTAATATAATACAGTCAAAGTTTAAAATTATTTTACAGCAAATTACAGTGATGGACCAAATGAAGCAAAATAAACTGAGCAGAGATAACCTAGGTAAAGGGTTTTTATTTAAATAAAACCAATTTAATATAAAAGATATGAGAGATATGCCAAAAGTAATTTGTATGAAAAATATTTAGTTGTTTTGATTTGCCAAATGTGACCTGAGTCAGCAGTATGGTGATTCAGTCTTGTTTTGTTAGTAGAAATGCAGTGTTTCAAGCAATGGGTAATTCTAATTCTGTTTTCATTCATTAAATCTTTTTAGTTAATTTAATTTAGTAGTACTTTTACTTTTGGCTGCCAAATATAAGAGATACTTAAACAAATTGGAGCCAAACCAAAAAAGAATGAACAGGAACTTAAAATCGTGGTACATGAAGGTTTTTTGAAACACTTGAGACCATCTATCCAGAAAAGAAAAACTTTATTAGAAAAATTATAGTTATCCTTAAAGGACTAAAAGTCATCTGTATGGATGAGGTAATTGATATATGCTCTGTGGCTTCAGAGTCTGGGACAAAGGGTAAGGTCTAAGGTATATAGTTTGCAATAAGATGAGTTCACGTTCAACTTAAGGAGAACTTTTTTACACCTTTCAGTATCTGAAGATTATTTTAACCTCTTCTTGAGGTAGCATGTTCATCATTGGTCATACTCAAACATAGACTGAGAAAGCAGTTACTGGAGACACCGAGGAGGAGAATTATCTATACGGTAGACCATCTTTGATACTTCCAAATCTCAGATATTATGAGTCCTGGTTTTTTAAGAGAGAATGAAGGAGGTATGTGAGGATTCAATTCTGTAGTGTGTGCCTCCGAGGATGTTTGTTAGGGAAGTAGTTCCTTACCAATCATTGTACAAGTAATGAATGGTACAAGTAAATTTTTGCAAGTAGTAACACTTTGAAGATTCAGGTATTGTGGAGTTTTTTAGCGAAGATTCCAGGAAAATTAATTTTCCCTTTGCCATCTGCCAATGAAGCTATGGTGCTTGTTTCAAAAATTATTAATATCATAAATATTTGGTTCTTCTGTTTCCTCTAGGATTCTCTCTAGACAGAAAATAGGAGGTGGAGTAAATGTTGAGTGTTTTTGCTGAGTGGCTCTAATTGAAAGTGGTATCTTGATAACATGTTTATCAATAATTTAATAGAGAATTAGCTGATTGTAAATTAAGTATCTTCATTGCACAGGGTTTACCAGTGTTTTTAGTTTTATCTTTGTACATGGACTTTCATCCTCTTGGTATCTTCACACTTCTTTAAGCTTTAAGAAGTCTTGGTTTCGTGATGCATTGGACCCATTCAGTACTTCCTTTCCCAGCCATAACTCTGCTCTGGATTTCTGCTTCTACCACAAACTTTGGACTGTTTGTCCTTTTTTCCCTAGTCGTCTTCCTCCCTGTCATCCTCCTTTCTCAGTCTGTTCTTCATATATGTGTTGGTTTGGCATGGGTTTCTTTATTTCTTCCACCTTTTCCTGTACTTGACAGCAAACAGGAGTATTCTTTTCTTAAGATGTATTGTTAATAAGCTCTGATGCATATTTAATGTAGTCTTTTTTACTACTTATTAATTACTGTTTTCCTCATTTTAAACAGCTTGCACTGTCTAGTGACAAGATTGCTACTTTACAAATGCCACTTTTAAACCTTCATCTAGACATAAAAGAAAATGGTGAAGTCAAACCATATTCTGTTGAAATGAGTAAAGAAGAGCTGCAGAATCTAATAAATTCCTTGGAAGCAGCTAATAAGGTATTTGTTTTAATTTTGTTGTGTGTTTAAAATGTTTAAGTTTTGATTGATATCCTTAGAACAATAGAAGAAAAACTCGTAATTGACTTTTCATATTTCTTTTATTCCTGATATTTTATGTTAAGCACAGAAAATACCTTGTTGATATGTTCTACATCTCTAGTTTTAGATATTTAATTATTACTTGTAATTTTAACTACTTAGTTTTGAGCATAATTTATCAAGGAGTTATTTTTGATAGAATAATAGTGCTCTTCTAACAGCTAGATTTTTTTGCCTCAGTCCTCATTAATGATAAAAATAAAATTTTTACTTAAAAAAAATAAAACTTTTACCTGGGGCTATGAAATCAGTTGATCCTGAAGTGTTTTTATGATTATTATGTATAGTTATGATTTTAAAGAAAACAGTGTCTTATTTAAATGCACGGATAAGGGGCGCCTGAGTGGCTAAGTTGGTTAAACATCTGCCTTTGGCTTGGGTCATGATCCCAGGGTCCTGGGATCGAGCCCCACATCGGGCTCCCTGCTCAGTGGGGAGCCTGCTTCTCCCTCTGCCGCTCCCCCTGCTTGTGCTCTCTCTCTCTCTGTCAAATAAATAAACAAAATCTTTAAAAAAAAAAAAGTTGTAACTGCACAAATAGAATTGCTTTTATAATCCTCTAAGTACAGGAGACAAAATATGGCTTGTAGTTATGACAAAATCAGGTGAAACTAATGAGTGACTAAAAATTTTATGTATACAAAGGATTGACTAACAGGAACCATTCTCGGTGTTTATTTAATGAGAAAAATCATATTTAAACAATAGAAACTGCTGCTGTCAGAAAGAAATAAAAATAACTGTCTCTGTATACGTGTGTTCCTTTCATGATTGCTCAGCATTGGGCGCCTGGGTGGCTCAGTCTGTTAGGTGTCTGCTTTAGGCTCGGGTCATGATCCCAGAGTTCTGGGATCGAGTCCTGCATTGGGCTCCCTGCTCAGCAGAGAGCCTGCTTCTCCCTCTCCATCTGCCTGCCGCTCCCCCTGCTTGTGCTCTCTGTCTCTGTCAAATAAATAAATTAAATTAAAAAAAAAAAAAAAAGATTTCTCAGCGTTTGTTCTAGTAATCTGTTTTCCAGTGATCAATGTCAGATATTCTAACCAACTTCTCTTGCCCCTGACCAACCTTCTTGGCTCTACCTTTTTTTTCTTTTTAAAGTAGTCTCCATGCCCAGCGTGGAGCCCAGTGCAGGGCCTGAACTCACCACCCTGAGATCAAGACCTGAGCTGAGATCAAGAGTCGGATGCTTAACTGATTGAGCCACCCAGTGCCTCTGCTCTATCTTTTTTTTTTTCTTTTAGATTTTATTTATTTATGTATTTACTCTGAAAGAGAAAGAGAGAGAGAGAGCGCGTGTGCGTGAGTGCATGAGCAGGGGGGAGTGGCAGAGGGAGGGGGAGAAGCAGACTCCCCGCTGAGCAGGGATTCCCAATGCAGGACTCCATTCCAGGATTCCGGGATCATGACCTGAGCCAAAGGCAGATGCTCAACCGACTGGGCCACCCGGGTGCCCCCCGGCTCTACCTTTTTGAAACCCTGGTATATTCAGCTTCCGTCCGTACTTTGCAGTTACTCAGTCATTTTAGTGCCATGATGATTGGTCCACATGCCTAGTAGCCACACTGGTAGACTGGCTTGCTTTTGGATGGGGCTAAATGTCTTAGGGAGTGTGTGGTAGAGCCTCATATAAATGTTAATTGAGTCTGAACCATGAATCCCGGCAGGCATGCATCATCAGTTACTGTGCATTGTACTTGCTTGTTATCAGTTCTCCTGTCTTCAGAGATTTCAAAGCATTTCATTAAGCAGATACGGGCATCATTCTGGAATAACCTGATTCCCATCCCCCACCCCCGACTTTGTGTTTTAAGGTGGTCCTGCAGTTGAAATAACCAACACTCTGAGATTCTACTGCTACCCCAGATGCGGCCAAGTGAATACTGTGTGTTCAGAATACCTGCGCTGTACTGACTGTTTTGCTATGCTGAGAAAGCAGCATGTTGGGCTTACAGAGATGAAAATATACCCGCTTCCCTGCAGAACAGGAAATGACATGGTCGACAGGAAATGCATAAAAAATGAGAGATGAAAAAGCTCTAATAGCAGTTTATATTTTCATAATGGCTGTTTTGCCTCATTTATTAAATATTTGAGAAACCTTTATAGATACACAGTTTTATTGAAAGCTAAAAATAAGCTCTAAAGTAATGTAAACGTACAAAGCACAAATCTACTTGAATGTTGCTTAAAGGAATATATGAATAACAAGGATGTGTTTTATGGATATATATGATTAATTTGTAATATTTTAAAAAATAACTTTTAAAGAATGTATGAGCTGCATATATAACTCAGGAGATTCCATATCTTTCTTCTATTTCAAAGGAAAGATTATAAAATACAAAATTTCTTAGAGAAAGCTCCTCTTCAGACATGAACAAGAAAAAATAATTAAAATTGTGTCAACAGTTTTGAGTTTATGAATTCTAGAGATTAAAATCTTTTACTCGAGTGGGAAAAAATGAAAGTAACACTGTTACTTCTGCACTTCTGTGTCTAATCGGGAGGCTGTGCTTCGTTAAAAAGAATCGATGTCATTGCATAGTGTATATATAGCTATTCAGGTATCAGCTGAGATTAAATATAGGTCCATTTTTGTTACAGACTTTTAATATTGAAGTTAATAGTTTTGGGTGTTAACTTCACTGGAAAACAAACCATTTTTAATTTCAGTTAACTAAAAACAAGCATTCTGAACAAATAAAAAATGTCATTTTACTTTTACATATTGCTTTATTTCAGAAGACTTTCTACATAATGCAGTGACCCGTAATTAATTGGTACCTGCTGTTTGCGAGCTTAATTGCTCTTTAGAGCATCAGACTATTATTTGAGGTGTTCGGAACAGTTATTACTATTTATCATCATAGAGATGAAGATAGGCTTTGAGAGCTTAAAAAAAATACCTGCTTGTGATCTAGGCAGTGCTCCTCAAAATGTGTCTGTAGACTAATGCCAGTCTTCTGTGCACTGTTTGTTACAGGTCAGGGATTAGATGAGGAGCGCATGCCAGAGTGTTCATCAATATATTGCTTTTCTTATTGAGAGATGTTGATTATGGAAAAAATATCAGCTGAACGAAACAGTGTGCTTAGGGAGGTCGTTGACTTACTCCCTGTGCAAGTTCCTTATGTCACGGACCGGTAGCGGTTTGCAGGCGAGCACTTTAAATAATGCAGATGATCGCTGATGTACGATGGTTTGACTTAGGGTTTTTTGACTTCAGTGTGGTGCTAAAACAACCTGCATTCAGTACAAACCATACTTTGAATTTTGATTTTTTTTTAACATATTTTGTATTTTGATCTTTTCCTGGGCTAGCAATATGCAGTCCAACACTCTTTTCTGATGTTGGGCAGCGGCAACCCCGCAGCTCCCAGGCGGCCCCGCGGTCACAAGTAAACAGCTGATATCCTGACAACCATCCTTTACCCAGACAAACTTCTGTTTCTCACTTTCAGTATAGTATTCAGTAAATTACATGAGGTATTCAACACTTCATTTAAAAATAGGCTTTGTGTTAGATGATTTTGCCCAACTGGAGGCTAGTGTAAGTGTTCCGAGCATTTAAGGTAGAGTAGGCTAAGCTGTGATGTTCAGTAGGTGAGGCATATTAAATGCGTTTTTGACTTACAGTATTTTCAGTTTATGATGGGTTTATTGGGATGTAAACCCATCATGTTGAAGAAGATCTATACTGATTTAAGGTCCTTTGGAATTTCAACCCTCCATTTTCTTCCTTTGATAAGCAGAAAATCTTGCTCTACTTATTCTTCCTCTCACCACCTTATTTATCACTCCATTAGAATATTTAACCACTTTATTGAAATCTCACCGATATACTGTAAACCTCACATATTTAAAGTGTATAATCTGGTAAGTTTTGACATCTGTACACCCAAGAAAGCATCACCTCTGTCGGGATGATGAACATGGCAATCACTCCCAAAAGTTTCCTCCTATTCCTTTGTAATCCCTGCTCCTGTGCCCTCCCCCCAACCCCTGATCTACTTCCTGCCACTCGTAGATTTGTTCACACTTTTCAAGAATTTAATATTAGTGGAATCATACAGTATGTACCTTTTCTTTTGATCCGGCTTCTTTCAGTATTGAGTTCATCTGTGTTGTTGCATATAGCAATAGTTCATTTCCTTTCTCTTTTTGAGAAGTATTCAGTTGTAGAGTTTTACCATAATTTGTTTATTCACCTGTTAAAGGATATTTTTGGTTGTTGAAAATTTTTATGGCCATTACGTAACACAGAATCCTGTGAACATTCTTGTGTAAACCTTTGTATGGACGTGTGCTTCCTTTGAGTGAATACTTTGAAGAGTGAAATGTTTCCAAAGTGATTTTACCATTTTACATTCCATCCCGCAGTCTGAGAGTTCCACCTTCACCTGTTTGCTAACACGTGCTTTGGTCAGTCTTAATTTCAGCTGTTGTAATAAGTGTGTAGTCATATCTCGTTGTGGTTTTAATTATATTTATTTCCCTAATGACTGACAGTGTTCATTGTCTTCTCATGTGCAGTTTGCTATCTGTAGATCTTCTTTGGTGAAGTGTCTGTTCAGATCCATTGCCCATTTCTAAATTGGGTTGTTTTCTTACTGTTGAGTTTTGGGAGTTCTTGATAGCCTGGATACAAGTCTTTATCACATATATGCCTTGCAAGTGTTTTCTCCCAATCTGTGGCTTTTTCTTCTATAAATGGACTTTTTTTTTTTTTTTAGAATAATTTTAGATTTACATAAAAATTTGAACAGGTAATTCAGAAAGATCCCATATACCCCACATTTAGATTCCCTTATTATTAACATGTACGTATGGTACATTTGTTAGAATTAACAAATGTCAATACGTTGTTATTAACTAAATTCCATAGTTTATTCAGTTCTTTTGCCCTTAGTCTTACAGACTTCACTCATTTCCAGGTTTACTTAGGTCAGTACCTCCCCCCCCTTCAGTGAGGTGGTTTTATCCATTTGTAATGAAGTTAGATTTTTTTAACGTAGTCTGTATTCCTTGCTGGGATTGCCTGACTTCCTAAATGATTTTTTAAATTTGCATATATTAATTTTCACTCTGTGTTGAATAATTCTGTGTTTTGGCAAAAGCCTAATGTCATGAATCCACTTTACAGAGTAGTTCAACACCCTAAAAATCCCTCATGCTTAATCTATTCATCCTTCTATCTTCCTCTGAACCCCACAATCAGTGAGTTTTCTTAATGTCTTTATAGTTTTGCCTTTTCCAGAATGTCATGTAATTAGGATCATACAGTATGCAGTCTTTTCAGACTGGGTTCTTTCACTTAGCAATATGCATTTAGGGTTCTTCCATGTTTTCTCGTGGCTTGATAACTCATTTCTTTTTTATTCTCACATAATATTTCATTGAATAGATGTGCCAGTTTGTTTATCCATTCACCTATTGAAGGAAATTGGTAATGCCCAGGAGTGTGATTGCTGGATCATATTGTATGACAAGTTTAACTTTGTAAGAAACTACCAAATTGTTTCAAAGTGGCTGTATCACTTTGTATTTCTTTATTTTTTCTTCTTTTTTTTTTTCACTTGTGGCAAAAAAACACATAATATGAAATCTCTGAACAAATTTTTAAGTGTGTAGTACAGTAGTGTTAACTCGCTGCACATTGTTGTACAATAGATCTCTAGAACTTTTTCATCTTTTATCAGTGAAGCTCTACTCATAGAACAGTAACTCCCCATTTCCCCATCCTCCAACCCCTGGCAGTCACCATTATGCTTTCTTCTTCAAGAGATTGACTACTTTAGATACTTCATGTAAGTGGAATTATGCAATATTTGTCCTTCAGCAACAAGAGTGTTTTACTTAGCATAATGTCCTCAAGATTCATCCATGTTTTTTTGTTTGTTTTGTTTTTTTAAAGATTTTTAATTTATTTATTTGACAGAGACACAGCGAGAGAGGGAACACAAGCAGGGGGAGTGGGGGAGGGAGAAGCAGGCTTCCCGTGGAGCAGGGAGCCCGATGCGGGGCTCGATCCCAGGACCCTGGGATCATGACCTGAGCCGAAGGCAGACACTCAACAACTGAGCCACCCAGGCACCCCAAGGTTCATCCATGTTTTAACATATGACAGAATTTCCTTTTGGGGGTGCTGAATAGTATTCCATTTTATGTATATACCACATTTTCTTTGTCCATTAATCCACAAATGGACATTCAGGTTTCCACCTCTTGGCCATTGTGACTAATGCTGCAATGGACATAGGAGTGCAGATATTTGTGAGTACAGCTGATCCTGTTTTCAGTTCTTTTGGATAAAAACCTGGCAGTGGGATTGCTGGATCATAAGTAGTTCTATTTTTAATTTTTTTGAGGAACCTCTATACAGTTTTCCATAGTGACTACACCATTTTAGATTCCCACCAACAGTGCACAGGGGCTCCATTTTCTCCATGTCCTTGGCTGATACTACTTCTATCACAGATACACAAATACCTATCTTGTGTTAGCTTCATATTTTCTATGATTCTTATAGCAAATCCTAAACATGTAACACATACATGTTATTTTTCTAAAAAAATTGGATGGCCATTTATTTCGTCCACTGAATAACATAGTCTTCTGGAAATAGTAGCCATTGTAGGATGTCTCTCAAATCCTTGGTAGCTCTGCAGGGTTAAGGCTCTGCTGATGAAGTGCTGATTCCCAGGTATTTTGCTGGATGGATGTTAAAGTTGTCTTTAGGCTGGAATTTAGACTCTTCATTGAAAAGCTATTCTGCTAACCATCATTAATGGATATATGAACTTCACACCTTTAGTCTGTTCATTATTTTATTGTCAACATACTGTTTCTGAGGGGAGACAATGAGTTTGGAGGTTGGAGGTCTTCCAATTAGGAAAGACTGACAAATAACCCAACTCTAATATTCACATTTACAGTGGAGATTTTAAAAGAAATTTGACATAATGCACCTCACAAATGGCTGCTATTAAAGTCCATTTTAGGCATCATTTTGAATACAAGGAAACAATTTCTTCTTTTTTTCTGATACATAAACACTCCATATGTCCAAATGTTTGTAAGGCGTGTTATCCTAAAGAATTTTTTTTTTTTCCCCCAAAAATCAAAGTGGTACAGAAATAAGCTCCCGGGAAAGTGCTGGTACTTTTTCCCCAGTTGTTGGATAATACTGCAAAGAATTTCTTCCAAATAAAGGGATTTTGCTTTGTATTAAATTTTACAATAAAGGCTCCGAAATGACAGATTCAGAATTCTAAACATTTTTAAGGATTATAAAAAGATATGCCTGAAATCTTGCATGTTTTTGAACATAGTACAAACTAAGCTTTTTATATGTAGGCATTTTCAATTAAAAAAATGTTTTGAGTTTTAGAAATAAGCAAGCTAACATAAATTGTACATATTTACAGCAATAAACTACATTTCAGAAGCTGCACAAAGGCTTTTGTGAGTACAGCTGATGGTTTTTGACACCAGCCTTCAAATGTGTTTCCTTTCTGTCATTTGCTGAAACATTTAAAATCCTGTAGTACCAGAGCAAAGAAAACAGCAACTTATTTTATAGCAAAGCCACACTATTAACAAAGATACTGAGTGAACCACAGTCCTGTGACTGCTGGAGTATCCGTTGAGTCCTGAAATTGAGAGCACAAGCATTTCTTGTGTCCATACCTGATTGCATGTAAGTTGACTTTTTATTTTACAAGGATACATGATTACTCGATGAATAAGAATAGAAAAAAGGCCATGAAAGCTAAAAGGGTCAGGAATCAGAGGACACTGCACAGTTTCTTATTCGCTGATTCATTGCTTAGAGGGAGATTTAGTTCTTTGATGTGTAGAAATCACAGTCTATAGGCTTCATGGATTTTGTTCACAGATCGTTTTTGAGATAGCGAAGTCATAATGTCACATACTTGAAGCTCGTAAAAAGGGAATTAATGAAACGGTTAGAATATTTTAATCAAATCCTTAACAGAAAGATTACAGTTGAACACCCTGTATGAAAGTTTGATTTCAAATGTTAAAAGCAACTACAGAAAAATCTCAAGTTTCATTAGAACAGCAGTTTCAGTCAGAAAATGCAGCATATATTGATACAAAACAGGAGCTGGAATTATAAAAGTAAAGAGTCCACCTTTCTTTTCTTGGCATTTTTAAAACATTTCCCATTTCATTAAAATTCCTATTGGTTTCCAGAAATACTTATTCTTGCCATTTAGCTCCTCTAGTGGTCTGGTCGGTATACAAAAGTATTATCTGCTTATGTAAGAAAGCAAATGCTTATGTCAAAAGAACATTAATGTATTGTAATTTATGTTTCTTTGCCATTAAAGAAGTTCTGCCCGCTGAAAAATAAAGAGGGACAAAGGGATTATTTTATTTACAAGAACTGTGTAATACCAATCAGGATATGAATTAGCCAACTCCTGTTTGGTAGGAGGGTAAATTGACAATTCAGCAAATTGATTAGTGGGGATTTAAAAACAAGGGATAAGACATTTAACATATTCTGACATATTGGTGAGTTAAGCGTAGCAGATTTTGAGAGGCAACAGAAGGTATGAATTTTTGTGTATAAGTAGCACCTGCTTTTGAAAGCCCCAGCTATTTAGGACAGGGTGCTGTGAATTAAAATAGCAGGAGACTGGTTTGGAAAGTTTCGCTAATTTTTGGATTCAATCAAGTTTTAGGTGAGGTGGTGCGAAAGAGATGTTCCATTGCTGGCAGGATAGAAGTTTCCCCCACTCTTTAGCCTGATGAGTCCTGCTTCCCCAAACCTTCTGAATCACTGTAAGAAGATCTTTGCCTCAGGTTGAGTCTTCTTGGGTAAAGTCACGGCAATGAAATAATTTTTCAGAGATGATGGACAGCCAAGCGAATTTTTCAAGCAAGCCACCCTAACCCAGATGTGTTTCTCTCAAAAACAGTTTTATTTGTATTTACACAATGTTAAAGTTTCCAATTTACATTTCCATTAACCTTTTAAATGACACAACATTATTTCACATTAGCCATTAGGTTCCCATCACAATGGCACAAAATGCTGCCTGGTGGTCAAAAATAAAAAGCTTATTTAAAGATGTCAAAAAATTTTTAGTCCTTGTAAACATATCATTTAGAATTTCTGAAAACCTCATGCAATCTTGACTTTGGAATAATGCCACAGGGTAGTTTTTACCAAGAGGGTTATTGGCCCTCTCTAAAATAAGGAGTTGAACAACACAGTCAATAAAAATATGCATATCTAATCACGAGCATTCCCTACTTAGTAGTGGATGTTCTGAATATGAAGTATCACTGTGTTTATAATTCTGCTTTCCATGACACTGCAGTGAGTTAGAATAATCAAGGGGCTTCCCTAAAAATGTCTCAGGAGCATTGTCGCAAAATATAAAATATTTCAAGCTTTATCCAGTGAGTATTTTAAAAAGATGTAGGAAACGGATTAAAGTGAGTTGACTAGCTTAAAAAAAGAAAAAGATACACTGCAATTCAATGTATTTGGGGGAATATCAAGTAGAAAAATACGTTATCTAGTAAAACTGGGGTGGCTGGTTGCCACTCTGAGGTAAGGCTTGCAAATGATGTATTTCTTTTATGCAGATTTGTAAATAATATACATAACAGGAGAACAGGAGAGTTAACAGTTGAAAGGAGGGGTGCAGAAAAGGTATTTCTCTGTACATATATTTTACGCAAACTTGAGGGACAGTGAAGAACTGCCCATCCCTCTTAGAGAGTTCTAAACCTCCTATTTATTTCTTGGCAGAAGTGAAATTTGGTGTGCAATACCGTCTAGAAGTATTCTCTTGGAATTCACATTGGATGTTCCAATTATGCAGTGCAGTCCCACTTGGGAGAGTAAACACCCCACAGAACCTAGATTCAGAAGGCTTTTAATAAGGCAAATGGGGGTAAATGGGTGAAAAGTGAGACTTCGAACGAACAATTTCCTGTTTCCATAAAATTAAAGCAGTAGTAATCATCATGGAAAGTTCAATTCTGCCAGAACTGGTCGAATCCAGAATGCTGTTATTAAGATTCAGTCTGTTTAGTCATAAGCAATGGGGGAAAATCTCCATGATCACTTTGCATGGACCCAAACCTGGGTCGACTATAAGTTTGACTGCATTTTTTATCCATTTAGAGGTTGTACACATAGGCTCTATGGAACTAAAGTAACTTGGGGGAGGGTGTGTTACCTATAATCCTGAAGTACTGCCTGTTACGAAATTGTATTTTTCTGTTGCTACATTTACCAGTGTAGGTCATTTACAGACTCTCTACCATGACAAGAACAATAGATGCTTTGGGCAATACAGAAGAATTAGAAAATGGGGCATTTACCCTTAAGGACCTTACACTTTATTTAGGGAAGGGGAGCATCTCTTTGCAAAACTCCTGGAAGATAACACAAATTCAACATCCATTATTACTGATTGACTCAGTGGCCATAAGAATTGAGGGAGTGCTAGCAGGAGAGTGAACAGAATGAGGAAAGGTTGCTCATGGATGGCTTTTTGGAAGATAGTGGCTTGATTCATAATCCACCCATTGGGGAGGGAAATCTGGGCAATGGAAATAAAATGTAAAACTTCAAGCACAGCAAGGAGAACATTTTGGGATGGGATGTGGCTGTGGTTTTGGCGGAAGAGTAGGAAAAACCTAAGGAGTAGTTTGCTTGAGGGTGGGTCAGGGGAACAGTGAGATAAAATGAACCTGAGTGATGGAGAGACTGAGGTCAGACTTAAGTGATTCATAGGGAGCCAAGGCGGGTATTTTCTCCAAGGTGTTAATTTATCGATATTTCCCATACCCTCAAGGTATGGGGATTATGAGACCTATAAATAGTGTGACTATATAATTGTTATCTAAATGGACAAATTTGAGAGTAAAATGTGGCACAATTGGTAATTACACACTGGGACTGTCTCAGGGAAACTGGGGCACGTTGTCCCCTAACAGTAATGTTATCCCAAAAGACTGGGGCACACCTCAGGCTATTCAGTTGCTATGTGAACTATTCCTTCTACACTTTCCCTCAAGAGAATAATGAAAGGCTTTTGTGTGTTTGGTGGTGGGGGCGGGGGGCGTGGGCAGGGAGGAGGATCAGGATTAAAAAAAGAACAGAAGTGTTTACTGGGCATAGTGTCTAGATGTTGGGAGTGGAAATTGTACTCTTTCTTCCCACCTGCCCTCCTCTTATCTTTGAACCACCCAAAACCTGGATCATCAAGGTGAAAAGGATTAGATATAGGCAGTGTGATAGAGTAGAAAAAGTTTTGCCTTTGCAGCCAGAAAACAAAACAAACACCCAAACTCAGATCAAATACTAACTCTATCACTAACTAGTTATCAGATCTGGGGTAAATAATTTAACCTACTTAGCCTCTATTTCCAGATATTGGTATTGTCATCATAACCACAGGGTTGTAGGGAAGATCAAATCATGAAATTATGTGTAACAAAGTATTTTCTGATACCTTAGACCAATGTGTGACAGTCACAATTGGATATCTACCCAAAAACCAAGATTCTTCTCTCTTTTTGTTAACATATTCCACTGTTTTCCCCTGCCCCAGGCATTGGGCAACGCATTGTGTCAATATCGTAAGCCCATCATGATAATTTCATTCCTCTTACCAGTGACTGGTTCAGGAATGGTTGTACAATCCAACCCCATCCAAAGGAACAAAAAATGATGGCTGGGAGAGTTTTTTGGGGAAAGATTCCCTGGCTCTTAAAAAGAGACCTACGGCAGGACTTTCCCTTGTTTCTGCCACTTGATATGAGTGCATGAGTATAGCCATGTTGCAACCACAGTGGGTGCTGATAACATAAAGAGTTTGGAAGAACTGGGTTCTGGATGACATCATTGTGCTATTGAAATAATTAAGCCAGTAACCACCCTATTTGTTATAGGAGCTATCATTTTGATTGCTGAAGTTACTTTTAGTTGTGTCTTTTGTTACTTGTACCTGAATGAATCCTAATTGCTATACGTCTTAGTAAGTATCCATCTCAACTCGGTGAGAATTTGAAGACTTACAAGTGCTTCCTCTGTTTTTAAAAAGATGACATTAAA